CTTTATTTTTTTAGTGTCTCGCTGCCGCCTCACCTGACGATTTAGGATTACTGTTTATTTTTTTAATGTCTCGCTGCCCCATCACCTGACGATTTAGGATTACTGTTGAGGACGCCGTTTGGGCGTCCACAAAGGCTGTAGAAATAGCTTGCATTGCATGTAATATATTTTATTACACGTGGACGAGAGAAGGTAAAAACGATTTCACCAGCGCTTGCTCGAGTAGAGTCTCAGCACAGAATCCGAAAAGCTTACTGTCACTGACACTCCCCTGTCTTTACGTCTGCCATGCGCACTAGTGTTTTCTTCTATTATTTTAACTTTCTTCTGTCTCTCGTCTCTATCGATTTGAAGGGGTCAGGCGTCCCCAACAGGGTCGTGTTTAGATACCTTCAAAATTCGAAGTTTTTTCGCTATCTCTTCGTCACATTAATTTTTAGCTATTTACATGAAGTATTAAATATAGGTAAAAAAATAACTAATTGCACAGTTTAATTGGAAATCACGAGATAAATCTTTTGAGCTTAGTTGATCCACGATTGGACAATATTTACTAAATAAGACGAAAGTGCTACTATTCATCAGTTTGAAATTTTTTTCAATCTAAACAAGATCCAGTTCTAGTTGACATTCTTTCCTCAAAAGACACTCACTCAACAGTTCACCCACAGCATAAGCTGCAAAGAACTGTGGGTCTCAAATGTTAATTTCTTTTTATCCTTTCCTCCTTATCTCTCCTCCCACGTACGAAGAATCGTGTATGTAGCCGCTAATAAAAGCTCCCTCCTCGGGGCTGTTTGGTTACTTATACCGGATTTCAGTCACTGTCCAATCGAATGTTTGGACATATGTATAAAAGTATTAAATATAGATTAAAAAATAATTAATTACACAGATTGCGATTAATTTAAGAGACGAATTTTTTAAGCCTAATTAGTATATGATTTGATAATATGGTGCTACAGTAAATATGTGATAATGATAGATTAATTAGGCTTAATAGATTCATCTCGTAAATTAGTCTACTCATGTGTAATTAGTTTTTAATTAACTCATATTTAATCCTCTTAATTAACATCCAAACGTCCAATGTGACACGGACTAAACTTTCTGCGGTTGCTTTTCTACGGTTCTCTCTCCTCCAGATCAGCTCCGATCCAGTCAGAACCAACTCCGATCCTAGTCAGCTAGCAACATAAATACCTGTTGGAGAGGCCCTTATAGCCAGATGGCTGGCTCATCAAAGTATGTAACCTCAGTTTACAAAATGTCACGCAAGTTTGTCTTGTAACTTGTTGCAGCCATTCTTGGAACTACGGCACCTCAATCTTTCACTTTGAAACAGTCATGAGCAAATATTCTTATTAGAAGCAGAGTCTGGACGTAAAGACAGCAGGAGATTGAAAAAATGCATGATTTTATTGATTGATGTGTTTGAATAAACAGCGATTATACGAATACATATGCCCAAGAGGTGTTTACGTGTGTTCGTGAGCAACTAGTAGCTAGTCCTTTCGGGATAGACCCGAAAGGTCCTGTATATACAGGTAGCACTAATCTTCATTAGCAACCATCTAATAGCATAATGATCTGCTAATTGATCACTTTTTTTTTCTCGTAAAAGGTTTGCACATCTTTGTATTAAGATCGAGAAATAGTAAAATTTACAATGACACGCCACGAACATGACACACTAGAGGGATTAGTGTTATAAAATCGGCTCGGCCTTCCCTAGCAGAAGGAGATCAAGAGCTATCACTCATTAATCATGGTACCTAACCAGCATTGGCATTGGCGATCAGACACGCTGGCTTTTGTGGCTGTCGACAAAAGATGCTCGGCAGTCCACCGAGGGGTATCCCACGATGGTAGATTTGTCGTAGAGGTGAGCGAGATCAGGAGTGAGATGGTAATACAAGCACCAAGACACAAAATTTAGACAGGTTCGGCCGTCAGTATAACGTAATACCTACATCCTGTGTTCTGATGTATTGCATTGAGATGTATCGATCTGTCCACTAAGGGACCCCTGCCTCTCCTTATATACTCTGGAAGGGTAGGGTTACAAGAAAAGTAGCCTATTTGGTACTATACAATATTTTGCGGTGCACGCCGAAAGCAATAGCATGCTGCGCACGATTGATCTTGTTGGTTGGGCCACCTCTGATGATGCGGTCCATGTCTTGTCTTGTGAATATCGGGGGCCATACCCCCACAGCTAGTCCCCAGCCTGACAGTAGGTGACGTAGTCACGTGGTGCCAGGATCAGAAAATAGAAGACCAGTCGAGCAGCCAGCCAGTTCCCCTAGCGTAGCCTCGAGATAAGAAAAGCGCACATTCATCGCAAGGTGAAGTGTGTCCACTTAGTCCCCGAGCCTGCTGGAAGATGAAGAATGAATCTTGTAGCAGGGTCAAAGAAAAAGAAGTCTGAAAGCTTTGTCGACGTCATTCGACATGCGCGTATCAAGACCCCAGACGTGCTGCCCAAGATCAACACCCTGATCCGAACAGCATGGAGCAGCTTGATAGCACACCGATGAGACGTAGCAAGATCCGACCACCAAGGGCGATGTCCAAGCGCCGAGGAGTCTCCGGCGTAGCTGGCGATGTCCGAGCACCGAGGAGTCCCCGGCATAGCTGGCGATGTCCGAGCACCGAGGAGTCGATAAAAGATGCTCGGCAGTCCACCGAGGGGTATCCCACGATGGTAGATTTGTCGTAGAGGTGAGTGAGATCAGGAGCGAGATGGTAATACAAGCACCAAGACACAATATTTAGATGCGAGTTCGGCCCGTCGGTGTGACGTAATACCTACATTCTATGTTCGATGTATTGCATTGAGATGTATCGATCATCCACTAAGGGACCCCCGCCTCTCTTATATATACTCTAGAGGGAGGTTACAAGAAAAGTAGCATATTTGGTACTATATACAATATCTTCTGCGGTGCACGCCGAAAGCAGCAACAGCCGCACGCCTTTGATCTTGTGGGCTGGGCCACCTCGATGATCTGCCCATGTCTTGTCTTGTGGATACCGGGGCCATACCCCCACAATGACACCTCGCCCGCTCTTCATGTGAGTGAGGGAAGGGTTGTCGCATTGCCTCAGCATGTGAGGTTGAGCTGATCGACGAAGATATCGTCGTAGGCATTCTTCGCTACCATGGAAGGCTTCGTCTATCCATCGAGCATTCCCATCCGCTTCATCACCAAAGATCTCGCTAATTGATCACCGACTAGCTAGTTCTAAGACTCCTTATCAATTTGCTCCTTATAATCTTAATTCAATAATCCTTTGATTATATTGATAACTTCTCTAAAAACCCTGTGGAAAGAAATTAAGGAGGAACTAAAGCTTTTATATGCTAGTAAACTCATTTAAAACCCATTAGAAAAAAAAGAGGAAAATGATATGGCATATATGGACTGTTGTCTTACTGTGAACTTATATGGAAAAACCTTGAAAGGAAAAAATCCATAAGCAAAGTCCAGAGAACAATAGTACGATATGCAGGTATAACCTCCCCAAAAACCTCAAGGGAAGGAAAATATGAGGAGGAACAAATATTTTTTTGGTACCTTCTCAAAACCCTATATGAGAAATAAAAGATATATGACATAATATGCCTTGAATTTTCCCTTTTGAATCCTCAGTGAGGAAAATAGTAGATACTGCATATATTCTTATATTAATATTGCTCATTAAAAAAATTTAGGAGAAACCTTCATGAAAAAAAAAACATAAAGGAAAAAGATTATTTATTGGTAATTGGATCAAAGGATACATGTTAAGATTAAGTACGAGGACCGACTAACGTCTTGTTCGTTTAGGCTTGTTTGGCTGATAAACCATGGCTGAAAGTATTGTTGGCTGATTTGGTGTGAGAAAAAAATACTATTCGTTGGCTGAAAAAGTACGGCTTATAAGTCAAATAAGCCCAAACGAACAGGGCATAGATTTTTTTAGGTTTTATTTTTCCCATGGCCTTATTATTAAAAGGGCCAAGATGGGCACCATGAACTGTTACAAGGAAAAGCATATTGTCTTTCTAGAGAGGGCAATGTGTGTGATATAAGTTATGGTTGAAAGCCATTGAACTTGAACGATACATTTGAGTTACAATGCCGACAAGACATGTATGTCTAGAGTTCACTAAGCAATAGGTACATGGTTATACAAACCCCGCCTGAATCATCAGTGTTCAACTAGAAGTTGATGGTTCAAAATTGCTCAACTAGCAACCTCTAATGCCTTTCAAAAATAAAAGGCAACCTCAAATGAAATCCCACGCTCCCACAAAGGATACGCTGCCAACACTCTTCTTGGTGAACTGTGCCCATGATCAGCTTCAGCTGTCTTCTCTAGTCTCCCTAGTACAAACACAAATAATAGCGAGACAAGGCACATTTAAAAACCGTAAGTCTAAATTCTAATGGCTGTTTCAGTAAACGTCTTATTCTCATTCCAATTTACAAACCCAGCACAGACCGCCAAAGTATACAGATGATCATTTCCCTTCATCTTTCTGAGGTCATGGATCGAAGTCCACCTCATGCAACCATGCACCATTCCGCGTATTTAGGATTTCAGAGATTGAAAACCTAGCATGTTCACATACATTGACCTGGGTAAGGACAAAATGATTGATGTATAATTGAAAGCAAGTGCCACCATGATATGATGCTACTTAATGTATAGTGAACAATGGTGCCTTACATGATAGGTTCCTCGCATGGCCCAAAGCATCATAGTAGCAAGCAACTTGCAAAAAAGTAGCAGCATCTGAAATTTCTCTGTATGATGCAGACGACTCAAGTTCGAGACCAGATCATGAATTGGAAGATATATTCACAGTTCCCTTTTACTAACTATATCAATTGAACCAAACTAAGCCATGAGTAACCAATAATGGAAATACAACTATCTGCCAAAGGGTCATTCTTCAACTCTACAAGCAGTAGCTTTCTCACCAGGTGTAACTCAAATTTCACCCCTGCTCACACAGCTCCTGAAACCGGGCCAAGCTACAAGAACAAACTATATGCATGATTCATATGAACAGATGATAAAATAACATGTCTGTCTGTCCAAGCAAGAAATTAAGATTCAGTTTCAAGCAAATAAGAGTTATCATCTACCACAATTTTGTTAGCTAACATGTCTGCCTGGCAAATGCCATTGAGTTGATATGACAAAATTTCCAATTCAATCATTAGGTTGACAATGCCATTGAGTTGATATGCCAAAAGTTCCAATTGAATCATAGGTTGACAATACCATTGAGTTGATGTGCCAAAGTTCCAATTCAATCAATAGGTTGACAATGCCATTGAGTTGATATGCCAAAATATCAAATTCAATCATTAGATTGACAATGTCATTGAGCTGATGATATACCAAAAGAAATTGAAGAGGCAAATGCAGGAACAAGAAAAGGATTTCACTGAAGTACAGACAACATACAAAAACCATGGTCATATAACAGACCTTCTAAGAAGAGGCTTCGGATTGTAAGGGAACAAATCCTTCTTTTGCAGATCTTCCACTGTTCTCTTCAATGAATAAAGGCATTCTTTAGCATCAAGAAAAAGCTTCTGTGAATTCTTGGCCTCTTTATCACAACCAGAACCATTCTTATACTGTTTACTTGTACTGGCTCTGTCACTATCTTTATCCCCAGAAGTCCTCTGCCTTTTACAGTCAAGCTTATCTATTTTTGTTGAGTAAATAGAATCATCAACAAAAGCATGCCAAGACTGGGAAACTAAGCGTAAGCACCTGTGCAAGTGTGTAAGAGAAGTCAAAGGTCACAATTCAGAAGACGCTTTGTTCCGTCTGAAGACGTCGGCAAAAATAATTAAAAAATTGTAAGATAGGTACCAACCTTAATAGATACTGAGCACAATGCACACCAACATCCTTAGATATGAGGTAATCAACAAGTACCATGTGATCATAGTGCAGCTGCAGAATAATTTCAATGAACAAAAAAAATATTATACTCAAAATAGGCATTATGGAGTGAAACAGGAGAAAAAATTGAAAGATCAAATAGAAGAAAGTACTATGGGTGAGCAAAGCTATGATTCCTAAAGTACTGAATTTTGTTTAGTATGTCCAATTACAAATGGTAAGGTTGTCCAGGTCCTCAATCATGGTTACAGCACTGAATAATTAACCCATACAATAAAATCACTCACTTGTACCACAAAATAAATAAGAACTGAATGTCAAGATGCTATCTTACAGAAATCATTGTGCCTCCAGCAGACCTAAAAAAACAATGAGAACATTTTGATCGACTCACCAGAAAAAGCAGCAGATGAAAAAGGTGAACTGGGTCGAAAATGCTTGAGAACAGTTTTACACCAACAAGTTCAGTAGTTTCCAAGTTAGCTCTGCAAGTTTGGACAAAAAGGTCACAACTTTAGAAGCATCTATTGTCTGGATAACTTTTTCCTTGCTTCAGTAAACAAACTATATTTTCCTACTTACATTTTTAGAAAAATGAGTGGTGCATCTAAAAGTTGTAAGAGAATGTTGAATAGCATGTCATCCTGAAATATGAATGAACATTGAACGTATTACCAAGAATGTTTAGAGTTCATAAAGCCAGTGGTAAGCCTTCTTTTCTATTACAGAATGAAGCATGAACTTGTTAATATTGAGTAATTGAGCAAAAAACAGCAGATAACTATTATCAGACAGATACGGAGAATAGAGTATACAGATTATCTTAGTTAGCAATTAGCAGTAAGGGGGGTTGGGCATTTGGTCTTGCCTTTTCACTGAAATGCCCAGCATATAAAGTAACTCACTAGCCATGTGCAATATTAGAATCCAAATGTCCAACTGTATAGAAAGAAACTACCCTGTTCAGGAAAAAAAGAAAGAAACTACCTACAGTGGGGCAACAACAAACCACTTGCGAAGACAAACTGAACTAGAATCGTAAAACTGATTTCAATCTACATTATCTAACAAATGTAAATAAAATCAAACGACTTAAAAGGTAAGATGTGTTTCCCAGAACAATGAATATGATATTTTTTAGCTACCATCATTTGGGCATAGTCGCATAGATGCATACCTCCTCCATATACAATTCCAGAAAGGATAAGGCAAAACTTGATGAATTTGAGTCAAGACTCCAGTTTAGGTAACACTTCTGAAACCAGTCTGAAATTTCTGATAAGCCAAAACAGTTGCAGTGATTACTACAGCCTTGTACTTTGTGACCCAACAAACACTCATCCCTCTTGCATGAACATTGAAGTGCACCATCATTTCTGCTGTAAGACAAGCATATGGAACAACTAAGGAACAAATAGATAGCTTGCCTTTGCAAGTGCCGAGTTGACTTATCCTGACTCTCAACTAAATCTACCATGTCCAATAAAAACGGAGAACCTTCTAAACAATTTCCTGGTTTAGCAATATGTTGTGAGATAGGTTCATGAAGAAGGTCTTCAAAGTAATGCCGAAGCAATTTCAGCCAACTAACAATATGTGAACAATCTTGCTGTATGTAAGGCTTAAGCCGCATCATTACCATCTGCATTAAAAAAATGAAACGTTAAAATGTTTAGGAAGCCAAATTAACTAGCAACAAATGACACAAAAGAGCTCTGAATGTCAGAGCTTACCAGAATTTTATGCTTTAAGTACTGATAAAGACTTTTGGGTCCATCATACTGCCCATGTAAGGAAAATGCTATCTTGGGAACTATATCAACAAGTTTCACAAACATATCTTGTCCATATGTACCTTCCAGGTAACTGTGGTCAAGAGCAGAGCTAAGTAGCTGGAGAAGACTGCCAGTCAGAATTCCAGACTGTGCTAAATCATTACAGAAGCTAAATCTGTTATCCTTAGCACAGTTGGCAAGTCCTCCGCATGTAATTGATGGAAAGAATCCCAAGGCATCTTATGAATATGATGAATGGATAGACAAATGAAGTCATCTGTCAAATCACTGTCACTGTGTTTAAGGAACTTCAAGATAGCATGTAATACTCGAAAGAGACTGGACATGGTTTGCCCACTGATATTGAGACAACGCTCATTAAGTACTGTCATGAAGCTTGTGATTCTTGAGCTTGAACTAGTGATGTCATTACTGTTGGAGTCAGTTGTAAAATGTGAAGTGTTATGAACACATTTCGATGCTGCATGTATAGCCACCCAGACAAGCTCAATGAACTGAATCCAAATGTATTCCTAGGAATAGAGAAACAGCCATGGAGTAAACAGTTAGTCGACAAAAAAACGAGACTGAATGCACCAAAAGAAGAAAAGGGAAACATATGAGAAGCATACAAACTTAATTAGGGTACTAGATATGGAAATTAGGATATTGCCAGCTGAGTGTTTGACATAATCACTGCAGAAATCAAGGAAACCAACCTGAAAAGGATGACAAAAGATGTAAGTTTTGGTAACCTACTAGTCATACTGGTCCGCCAGAAATGCACAGGCAACATAAATAAGACAATACTAGCTAAACATAAAATTGAAGTGAATAGAGTGAAACATTGACATAGTTTGCCAAACAAAAAGGTTTTTACCAATACAGAGACCATATTCGCCATGCAACCAAATCCATCATATGGATGCTCTTTAAGTAGTAAGCAGCAACTATGAACTTCTCCGGAATCAGAAAGAGTTTCCTAAATGAAATGGGAAAATATGAAAGTGTTATTATCTCCTGTGACAGTTGTACACATAACACAGCAAATGGATGTGAAGACTTAAAGCATAGATGACAGATTCACTTCTCCAGAATTATTCACAAGTTTACACATAGATAAGCCAACAGAGATACTTCCACCACGAAAAAATGATATCTCACTAGCATTACAGCGGCTCATAAAAATCACACTTGAGTAGAGCAAAAAGTTATTAGATATCCTATGCCAGTATATTGATATCAACCATTAGATTTTTTTTTTCTGGTTTTAGTCAGCTACCAAGTATTGACAAATTAGATGTCACTGAATACTGCTGCTTTAGAAATGGAAGCTATCATCCAATGTGGATTGAGTTTGGAAGGGTTATGTAAGTAATCAAACATAAAATTTATTGATTACATCGATTGCGGTCTGAGATTCGAAGGTTTACAGAAGCATCAAACACAAATTTTGGAGATTGACTGTTAATTGCTCCAAGGTCAGACATGGGCTAAATAAATGCTCTCACAGAAATGGGGCAAAAAAAATTCTGTGACAACCCAAAACCAACCACAGAGTGAATTAATATCAGTCCCCAGCTGCTCCATAGGACGTGCTACACTAAACACAGTTACAGTACTACTTGCGACAGATAAGATTGTGGTAGGACTAGCCAGAGAGAATTTACCAATACTTTCATAGGTGGATTAACAGTGAAAAAAAAATCCTACTGAAACTCGAAGCAATACCTGAACCAATTCACAAGCTGCCTCCTCCTGGTCCCATCGTCGTATCGTCTTGTTCACCTACAAAGTCCCAGTCAAACAACCACGAAACACGATTATAAACTGGAGGAAGATGACTGAAGTTACCGTGGAGAGCGCGAGGAGGAGCTGCCGCTCGTCTTCCCGCGTCAGCTGCCGCGGCGGCGACGGCGCGGGTTCCTGCGGTGCGAGAGGCGCGAGTGGGGTTAGATGTAGGCTCAGAGCGGCGCGGGGTTACAGGAGGAAACCAATGCGGGCGTGCGGGGTGGAGTTGCTCGCTTACGAGGTGGACAAGCAGGGAGGAGGAGACGAGATCGCAGAGGCGGGCGAGCTTCCGCTTCTGCTTCTCCGGCGGCACCGGCGGCGGCGGCGGCATCTGCTGGCTGCTGCGCTTGCTTCTCGCGGTGGATTTGAGAGTATTACCAATCGAGTTGTTGGAATTGATCGCAACTTTGCGGATATGGGAAATCCAGTTGCGGTTGGGTGTGATATCCAACGGCAGTGGTGGGGAAATCCAGCAGCGGCGGGGGGAAGAGGCCGGACGGACGTGCGGCCACGCCGACGGTGGCAGGTCCAGCGCGCAGGTGTGGTAGACTGGTAGCCGCCGAAGAGACCTTTGTTTTTTTTGTGCGAACGTGCAATGATTTTGAATGAGGCATTTGATTTCAGCGAAACAAACGGTGTTTTCCTCTTCCAACAAATCAGCATAATCATCAGCATATGTTCTGCTGCACTATTTCAGCAGTACTTTTCAGCGAACGAACAGTATTTTTCTCTTACGACAAAACAGCATAAGCCAATTTTTAGCGAAACGATCAGGGCCACTATTTGCAATTGACAACTAGTATTCCTGAGCTCAAATCCATTGCCCATGATATCTTATGAATTTGAATTGTTATGTTTGAACTCCGAAGTTGGATAACCATTTGACCAAAGAGAGCAAATACAAGGAAAAACAGAAAGTATGGGCCCCAATTTGGGTGCTAATGTTGAGTTGAGCATAGAAAAAAAAAACACTCAGAAGTAGGAGCCCTAAATCAAAAGTAAGAGCCTTGATTTGGGATGTAAAGTTGCTCTTAGCCAATATACAAACGGTTCAGCTGGTGATTATTTCAAAGATGACGGCGTGTAAACTTAGGTACAGAATGTCATTCCCTCGAGGAAAGATGCAGTGCAGTTTAAAACTGAAGGCACAAACGCACAAATGCTGCATCATAACCCCAGGTTTGTCAGCAATCTAGCAGGCAAGAACATGGAAACGAGAAATGAAAATTATAGCATAAAGTACTACGGGGGCATTTGTGAGAAGTCAAATCTCAGAGATTCATCGGTTTCACGGTCTCACTGCTAACCCTTTATTATTACATAAGTCGCTGTCAACAACAAACATCCTAAATCAGGTGAGAGAAAAAAGTGAAATAACAGTCTGGTGACAACGCCAATCCTGTAGAGTTGCATAAAAAATGGCAAAAATGATTTCACTAGATCATGGCTGCTCTGCAAATTGGGATATCTGACTAGATCACCAAATTTGGTAATTGTAGTTTGTGCCAAAGCTGTTCTTGTACATTAGGTGGAATATTCATTCACCTACAAAGCAAAATAGAAGCAAGTCACTAGACAACTAGGAGAATTACATAACGAGAATTGGTTGGTGAAAAGTACAGAAATGAATTACCAGAAACTGGACCACTATTCAATACTGACAAAATATGCAAACTAAACAAGGCAACTTTAACAAAGTTGGGGATAGCAGATGTGAAGGCAATGATGTTAAGTGCAGGAGATTTACTGAATGCAAGAGAGTCTAGTACAAAATAGAAACACAGTTTTCCTTGGAATTAGTTATGTGTCAGACATCTTGTTCAACATTTTTTTCTCAAACAATATCTTGTTCAACCTTACTAGCTGAGATCATTTGAGTATCTTCAGCACTAAACTGTACACCCTCTGCAAAATTTAGGTTGTTTTAGTTTTGTCATAAATCAAACTTCTCTAACTTTGACCAAGTTGATAGAAAAATGTATTAACATCCATAATATAAACACACTATCATAATCGATACATATTCATGGTGGATTTAATGAAACTAATTTGATGTTGCACATGTTGTTGCATTTTCTTATAAGCTTGGTCAATGTTAGAGAAGTTTAACTGAAGACAACAAAAACAACTTACATTTTGGAACAGATTGCAGTAACTGAAATTCCCTAACTCAGCTGTCTCACAACAAATAAGAGTACCGACCCATATTCTTTTTTCACACGAAGGCACTGTCCAAAACTCTAAACATGTATTCTGAATTCTTGATAATACTAAACATACACTTAGTGACCAGTAACATGGAACTCAATTACTTGAGTAGAGGTCATGTTTGGTCTATCTTCTCTTCCACAACACATCATTAGCAGTAAGAAATCAGATTCTAAATTTGCATGCAAAAATGAGATTCTAAATTTGCATGCAAAAATGAGATTCTAAATTTGCACGCAAAGCACTTAATACATTAATTCCTTCAAAAGCTACATAAGCAACTGCAAGCATGACTTAGGTGGGGAAAGCCTGAACAAGGCATTTCCCACATTATCTTGCTACAATACCATCACCACTGAGGATCACAGGGAGCCAACAATTTTGTCTGCTCTTAGTAACACAAACATGTTCAGTAAGAAATTCTGTATGCCATGTGAAGCATTTGACACAAAAATGTGATAATTTATTAGAAAACATCTGATCATCACAGGTTCCTTTTTACGAATGAAAACTAACCCAAATAGAATGCAAATCAATGAAGAAATTTGACTAAACTATCCTCACCTTATGTGGAGACAGTTTCCTCCCATGAATTCTCAGCGAAGTTTCTCCTTCACAGAGTGCTTCTTGGCCGCTTCCCGCACCTTTTCAATATATCCTTCAATTGGTGGTGTGAGTGTCGCCATGTACCGGTTTGCAGGGAATGGTGTCATGTCAGGTACCATAGCAGCAGCTCGCAGTTTCTCAGGGAGAGCAGCAATGGCCTCCTTTTTTAGGGTCAGAAGCGTTGACTCTGCTGTTTGCCTTGCACGGTGCCGCCGCATTAGCACACGACTGTACTCTTTGGCAAGTCGCCGACCATCCTCGACTGTGAGCTCATACTTGGGGATTGCCTCCTCATCAACTAGCCCAAGACTGATATAGTCAAGGCCTGGTGGACCCATAAGCACACGGTCTCCTTCACCTCCACCAGTACCTTTGGATTTGGCTTTAGCTTTGGCCTTGGCTACATCAAGCTCGCGTTGCCTCTCCTTGGAGACAAGTCCCAGTTCCTCACGTTTAGCTTCGCGAAGACGCTCCTTGGGGAACAAGTGCCGCAGCGGAGTAGAGGCATTGAGACAAGACTCTGAAATATTAGTAATGCGCTCAATGGCCTCACGACGACCACGGCCGCCGCCACCTCCACCAGTGGAAGGTGCCCCTTTCTTCGCTCCGATGGTGGAACGCTTCAAAGGCTGACCTGCTTTGAGCTTAGCCTTTCCTTTGGCTGTGCCACTCACTGGCGCACGCTGTTGAAGCTGGTGATGCTGACTGGTCACACCAGATGCCAGTGCAGGGCTTATAGTTAGTGCTTTGAGATGCCGAAACATGATGCCCCCGTGCACTTGAAGCCATTCAACTACCTTTGCTGCACCAATGAGAAATATGTGATTAACCTGACTTTTCCTTTCTTTTCTTTTGTGGACATACAAAGATAGAGTTTTCATGAAGGCAGTTTATCAAAATGAGCAGGCATGGTCCAATAAAACAATGAAGCAGCATAAGTGAATGCGAAATACAAAATCAGATGTGTTTGAAGCTTGAACCACATCAATTGAACATGTGTAATTAAAAAACAAGTACTGGTTATGTCCAATGGAGAACAAAAATGTGAGTAAACTCATAGGAAATATCAAGCGGCATCTCTGACAGGCATGATATAGTTGATAAATTACAATGTGTTCAGGGAAGGGCCCAAGAAATCAACTGACACTGCATTGTCACCAGAACCTCTAGATCCAAACATCCCTGACCAATCAAACTCTAGTAACAGCTTCAGACGCAAAAAGAAGCTAAGGAAACAAAAATGCAACAGTCACCTTGGGGCTTGGGTTGCAGGTAAGGATCACAATCGAGCATGGTGGCATGGGTAAAGATCACCAACGCATGTGCCACACAAGAGAACGAAAAAGCATGTAACGAATCAACAAATACATTCCATCCTCCCAGTGACGAACCCAGGATCTGAATCCATAAATCCCTTATGCAATACGGTATAAGGTATCATCAATATAGTACCAAGATGGAGTTCAAGTTCCGTGAAACCAGTATTAAGGCCCCAATCATACGTAGATATGCTGAATCACAAAAATCACATTTCACAATCTGTCAATCACCAGTTTTAAGCATACGGAAACCTTCGCCTCTAGTGTCTATCGTCTACTAACTACTGATCCTCAGTAGACATTTTACTCACTAGAGATGCAGTCTTGCAGAGCAGGCGAGGAGGAGGAAGAGCAGGCACTGCGCAGGCCGAAGGGGTGCCGGCCGCCAGCAGCCCGGGCGCCCGGAGGAGCTGCAGCCCAGCAGCCCGCGCAGGAGGACGGACGTGAGCGCACCTGCGCCTGCGCAGGCGAGCCGCCGCCACGGATGCCGCGAAGGTCAGAAGCGAGTCGGGAGACGGGAGGGGGCGATCGGGTAGGGCACCAGGCGTGCGGTCCATGGTTAAACGGGCCTGTGCTGGGCTTTTCGTTTATCTGGGCCTTTAAACGCGAAGTACTAAAAAATACTTTTAAAAAAAGTGCATCAGACCTCTTTCAAATTGTTTGCGTGACTCTCCTCGATTAGAAAATCGGAATTTCAACTTTCGAAACCTTCAAATTAACTATTTTACATGGTTCCACGTTAGGAACGAGGGAGGTAGATCACTAGTAGACTTGACAAAATATAAACATAATTTTTCAAAAAGGTATTCAGATATTTTTCTAAAATAAATATGTAGTTAGAAATATTAAAATCTGATTTGTTATTAGAAAATGTGTTCTAAGTTTCAAAAAAAAATTGTTGTAACTCAAGAAAATGTGAAATCAGTTTTATGTCTTTTATAAAATCTTATCTGGTCTCCTAAAATTTGAAACTGAGCGAAATATTAAACGAAGGATGCAGACCAAGACAAATCCTTGCATACCACAACGTGAATCACCACACAATCTGTAGTGCAAACTGCAAAAAAAAAAAAGGTTTCTTCAGGACCAATGTCTTGCCTAACCATTGATACATGCCTAGGAAATTCCAAATAAAAATATAATCCAAGCTCTAGTTGCGTATTAACAACATGTATTATGTGGTTTAACTTGTAGCAATATTGTCCTCTTCAAGGACATCACGATGATGACGTGTGGAGACTCATTAGACCATCAGCAGTAGCTGGCGTGAGAATTCTCAAACTCCTGAACCAATGTTTGCGACCTACCCAACAACATCCAGATGGATGCGACCGCTTCCTAGTTCATCGTCGTCGTTGGGTGTAGGTATGCACATGTACCGGGAGCACATGATCAAAGCAAGAAGGCGGTTTGGATGGACTTGTGATGCCAAACTTCATGCATTTTCTAAAATCATGCTCTACATTATAGTGCCTAGCTTAGATAAACATATAGCATGATTTTAGGAAAAACATAAAACTAGTTTCATATTTTTGAGTTAAAAGAAATTTTCAATGAATTTTCTAATATTAAGGGTGGGTTTGGTAGGGACTCGATTGTCCTAGAAACATTTTATATCTAATATAAATTCTCTATAGAAACATTTCTTTGTTGAATCAAAAGCACTTTCTTGGAACTGTTTGGCTCGTTCACTAGATTCATGAAACTAGAACTATAGTCAGGAAAAACTAGGTTTTGGGTCTTGGAACTGTTTGGCTCGTTCCAAGTGATTCTCATTATAACATTTCTCCCTTTGTGGTGTTTGGTAACGATTCTAATGATTCTACTGAGAATCTAAAACATTTCTCATTGTGAAATGCACCCTAAATTAGATCTTTAAATACATATTTGTGGCAGAACCACCCAAATTATGCTGACCCACGTGTACCTGTTATTGTCCTAAAGACCTCTGACTGCTGTACACGAAAGCCAGATAATCCGGTAGTCTGTCGGGTGTCCTCGGGGAACCCCGAATCATCCACATTTTACAACTCATACATGATCAACAATGGAGTTACCACAACATTACAACATTGATACAATAATATCATACATCGGAGTTACGGAAGATTTATAACATTAGGTTACAAAACATATTATGTACCCTTAAGTAACACTTGAGTTCCAAAAGTTGAGTAGAACGACGGAAGTATCTTAAGTGAAGTACCTAAGATAGAAGAGAACTAGATCATGTCGAGCCCATCGACATGACCTTGATTAGTGGCACAAGTCAGAACCTGCAACAGGGGTTAACAAACCCTGAGTACTTGAGGGTACTTGAAAGCATCTAGGCCCCTAAGTGGATTTCGGTGATTAATATCAATACAAGATTACTATGACTAACGTGTGTTTTGTAGAGGAAATTAAGTTAGGTCATGGTAATGGAGATCGATTGGGCAATTGAGGTTGTCATGCCCCTACGATGGAAATCGTTTCGGTTTTCAAAGGATGGACGACAAGGTTAAGGATAACTAGTTCTAAGTGTCAATTGAAGTTGGAGAGACACTTAGAGTAGTTTAGGACTTTGTTTTTTCTTTGGCCGTACTATGAAGGGGGGTATGAACGGGTAGCTTGACCTAGTTGAGTCTAGTGAGTTAGGTGTGGTGCACACTTGTTAAAACTAGCTCTAGGTAGCTCCTATGAATGTCTAAGATCCTTTGGAGTAAACTTCATTCACATATGATCGAGAGTTGGAAGTGAATGGAGGGTCAAATACTGACCGGACGCTGGCTCCGGTGCGACCGGACTCTGGCCGCAGGGTCCGGTCAGTTCATTTGACTGAGGAGAACAAGTCTGGAGTGACCGGACGCTGGAAGGTCGTGTGACCGGACGCTGGGGGCCAGCGTCCGGTCGACTCCAGTAAGGGTCCAGACTTGAGAAAGTGTGACCGGACGCGTCCGGTCAGTGGTGACCGGACCCTGAGTATCCAGCGTCCGGTCGATTACAGTAAGCATCCAAGAGCGACCGGACGCGTCCGGTCAGTGCTGACCGGACCCTGTCAGCGTCCGGTCATCACTTGGAAACTGTTGCGCGGGTTGAACTGACCGGAGCGTCCGGTCAATACGATCGGAGCATCCGGTCATCCCGCAGAAGCTCATAACGGTTCGTTTTTCAGGCTGCCTTATAAATAGAAGCTCCACTCGTGTGTGGAGTTACTTTTGCTCATTCCAATAGCTGAGAAACACGTTTGTGAGTGCCAAGAAGAGCAAGGTCCTAGTGAGGTATTTGTGATTTGAGAATCCAAGAGTGAAACCTCATTAGTGAATCAAGAGTAGACAAGTGTGCATCCATCTTCTCATTAGGCTTCGCGTGGTCAAGTGAGAGTTCGTGCTTGTTACTCTTGGTGATCGCCATCACCTAGACGGCTTGGTGGTGATTGGGAGCTTGGTGATCACCCGGTGGAGCTTGTGGGTGACCCAACTCAAGTTGTGAGCGGTTTTGGGTGATTCGCCACGACGGAGTGTCGAAGAATCAACCCGTAGAGAGCACTTGATCCTTGCGCGGATCAAGGGGGAGCTACACCCTTGCACGGGTGCTCCAACGAGGACTAGTGGAGAGTGGCGACTCTCCGATACCTCGGCAAAACATCGCCGCATTCCTCTCTCCATTTACTTTGAGCATTTACTTTAAGTATTTACTTTGAGCAATTCAATACTCGTCTTTACATTCATAGAATTGCTATGCTAGAGTAAGTTTGGAACATAGGTTGCAAGTCTTTTGTGCGTTGATTTGATAGAAACACTTTGTCTAGGCACAAGGGGTTAATTGGGCTATCTGTAGGATTTGATTATTGCAAGAAAATTTAGAATTAGCCCAATTCACCCCCCTCTTGGGCATCTTGATCCTTTCAATTGGTATTAGAGCCTCATACTCACGTTTTTAAGCTTAACCGCTTAGAGCAAGATGTCTCACGGGGATGGACCTCCTCCTATCTTCGAGGGGGATGATTTTCCATATTGGAAAATTCACATGGAGGCTTACCTAGAAGCTCTAGATGTTGGAATTCTTAGAGCCGCCTCTCAAGGGTTCCCAACACCTAAGAATGCCGCACAACTTCAAGGCGATGAAGTAAACTATAAAAAATAGAATGCAAAGGCTCGTAACACCATCTTTAGAGGCCTTTGCAAAGATGTGTTTAATCGTGTAAGGAACCACAAAGACGCCCATGCACTATGGTCGGACGTTTGTGCGCTCCATGAGGGAACCAAGAGTGAGCGTGAGGAACGCTATCATCTTGTGATTAAAAAGCTAAATTCGTTTGAGATGCTTCCCAAAGAAAGTGCTAATGAAATGTATTCTCGTTTAAATGTTCTTATAGAGGAAGTCAATGGGCTTGGACTTACTCAAATGTCACCATCCGACGTTGTGAGAAAGATCTTGAGTGTCCTCCCCATTGACAAATATGGACACATTGTGACCGTGCTACATCAAGGTGATCTTTCCGCCGCTACACCTCTCCTACAAGATCATCCACAAGATCTCATCATAGGGAGTCCATCAAAGGGTGTGATGACTCGATCTCAAAAACTTACTTCATTTATTGCTCACCATTCTTTTGTCTCTTGCTATGAGCCTACCAAGGTAGAAGAAGCTCTTAAAGATCCGGATTGGATCAATGCCATGCATGAAGAGTTGAACAACTTCACTCGCAATGAAGTTTGGACTCTTGAAGAGCGACCAAAAGGCGCAAGAGTCATTAGAACAAAGTGGGTGTTCCGCAACAAGCAAGATGATCAAGGTGTTGTTGTGAGGAACAAGGCAAGACTAGTTGCAAAGGGGTTCTCTCAAGTTGAAGGTTTGGATTTTGGAGAGACCTTTGCACCGGTTGCAAGATTAGAAGCCATCCGTATCCTTCTTGCATATGCATCACATCATGAAATGAAACTATATCAAATGGATGTGAAAAGTGCTTTTTTAAATGGCTTTATAAATGAACTAGTCTATGTTGATCAACCTCCCGGGTTTGAAGACCCTAGATATCTTAATCATGTTTATAGGTTGTCCAAGGCACTATATGGGCTTAAGCAAGCCCCAAGAGCTTGGTATGAGCGCCTTCGGGACTTCCTCATTGAGAAGGGCTTCACCATTGGGAAGGTCGACACCACACTAATCACCAAGAAGCTTGATGGGCATATCTTCATTTATCAAGTATATGTTGATGATATCATCTTTGGATCATCAAATGAAGACTCATGCAAAGAATTTGGTGAATTGATGTCGAAAGAGTTCGAGATGTCAATGATTGGTGAGCTTACATTCTTTCTTGGTTTTCAAGTCAAGCAAATGAAAGAAGGCATTTTCATCTCTCAAGAGAAATACACAAAAGATCTTCTCAAGAGATTCAAGATGGATGAATGTAAGCCAATCAAGACACCAATGCCTACAAATGGACATCTCGATCTAGATGAGGGAGGTAACCCGGTTGATCAAACTCTCTACCGTTCTATGATTGGTAGCTTGTTATATTTAACCGCATATAGGCCCGACATCATGTTTAGTGTGTGTATGTGTGCTAGAT